CAGGGACGGACTCGGATCTGGTCACTCAGCTTATACTGTTGCGAGACGGGCCTAAGTTGACATCAATCGCCTCTTTCCCCAGATTTTCGATCATCGGCTGCTAATTGGCCGGCTTGATCGATTTCGCATTCTTTGTATTTCCCTTATCTCATCTCCGTGCCTCTCCGTTAAATGCACTCATCCGTTTTGTCTTAGGCGTCCGAGTCATCTCGCGTGTTCCCGCGTCTAGCCAGTGATCGCCGCGAGAACATAAAGGAATGGATTCTCTGGGCTCTCTTTGGAACTCACCACGACGGGTACAAGGAGGAGTGCGCTGAGGAGGTAGAATTTCACATCCAGATGCTGGAGAAGCATACCGGAAGCAAGCTGGATCATGGCTGGAGCCACTCGGTCAAGTGCATGCGACTCGCACTCGATCCTGTCGTATCGCTCCACAGGCCGCTGTGTTGGTATGTCGTGAGTGCCGTGCAGTTCGCTCGCTCTGAACCACATCGAAACTGACCTACACAGATCGTCGGGATCGTAGACACTATCACCTCTGCCCAGCTGGCGTTAGGAGGGTTCAGGCATTACGACAACAAAAATCCCCTCGGCTGCTTTCCGCCAAGATGGTCTTCTCTGTTCTCTCGACGTTCTCCGGACGCGAATATCGCGTACTGGTATCGGCCGCACCGATCAAAGACGAAGCATCCAGTTCTCTTTCTGCATGGCATCAGGGTATGTATGTACATCTGTCTATGGCTGCTCATACTCATACTGAATTAGATCGGACTATGGCCCTATACCCCCTTCCTTCAAGAGCTGGTCGCCAAAGACCTCAACGTCGGCATCATCGCCATCGAGAACCTCTCCGTCAGCGTGCACATCTGCGCACCACCCCTCCCATGCGCCGAGATGCTCGCAGCACTCACGTGCATCCTCGAGCACCATCATCACACTTCCTTCGTACTCGCCGCCCGGTCGACGCAATCGGTGCCTCCGTTCTGAGCCATCTCCCATCCTCGCTGAACATCGTCTATCTTCATCGCGTCGCCTTTAACGAGGCGTGCTTTCCCAGAGGACACGAGCTCTTGGATTGCCTTATCCTGGTCAAACGCCGAGGGTGAGCGGAGGAAAAAGGTCACTGTGACCCCTTGAGCTGAAGTCTGTCCGTCCGTCAGTCAGTTGCATAGCAATCGTGGCAGAAAGGGGCTCACCGAGCAGTATGAGTGCAGCGAAGTAGCCGATGTTTCGCGAGGCTCCGATGGCGAAGACGTTCATGCTGGTAAAAGTTAGGTGTAGTGAAGATAGGGGATGCA